TTAAACGCAAAGTAAATTGTACTACCGACAAAATGGGGTGTGCGTATTTTGTCGGCAGTAAGCCTCGAAACCGCGCAGACTATGGGGAAACGAAGTTCATTGCCCAAAATGCACGCTTTTATTTGTTTCCCTTCGCGACATTGACTCAATGGTAAGGGAAGCGAATCTTTCGACAAAGCTCTTGTAGCAACACAAACGACGGCGGGGCTTTCATGCCTAGTAAACGTGGGTGCACGAGTTAACGTTCGCTAGCAACAACACGCAGTGTGGGGTGCTCGGGCGTCTCGTTTCGCCATAAACGCAAGTTTACGTCCTCGCTGTACCCTGTCCAGCAGCGGTCGGTCAAGCTCGAGCTGTGCCTTTGTGGTAAACGACACAAGAATATCGCAGCACCTAATATAAAAACTGGCTTGTTTATAACAGTTAATATACGATTTGTCAAGGTTATATAAATGAGTGCTACAGTAAACCAAAGTGGGGGAGCGTTCAGGTACCTGACGGGGTTCCGCAGAAATTACCGCACATGGCGTGGCCATTGAGTTTCCTTTCGGCGGCCCGTCATACGTGTTTACAATATTTTGAATACACTGGCGAACTATGAAACAGCAAGCGCAGCATATTTTTATCTTAACACAGCGCACACAAACGAACACAAAAAAGAATAAGAACCGAACCAACGACACGCGATTTATCAACTGAAGTTTGTATTGACCACGTGCACATTTAAATATAAACATTGATGAGCATCATATGATGAAAAAATTGCGCTTTAAGGGTACACATTTGTGATTCATGCATCATAATGCATATTTTCACATAAGGTGCTAGCTTAGCGACGTGCAAAAGCACGTTTCGAAATTACCTTTGTGAAGACCTTAGTGATATATTTTTTTTATTTTGGTCTCGTTGCGTGAGAGGAGCTATATACAGAATATTAAAAAAGAAGTAAAATTGCTTCTGGATTCTGGATCCGATATTGAAGTTCCTTAAACGTAGTTTTCATTGGACAGGTACGCATAACAAAAAATATTGCTAGATGGCTCCAATACTCCTCGTGGGCGTCATAGGATAGATGGATGGATGGATATAGCTGTACCCTTTAGATCGGGTGGTGGCTAGCGCCACCAAGCCGTAATACTTAATGAACCAAAAACTAGATTTATTTTTTTTCTTTAAAAAGTGAGTTTGAGGATTCGTACTTTGCAGTGAAGGGTTTAATTTTCACTCGTGCCTTGACTTTAGCCACCAATCAGATAACCTCCTTCTAGTTAAGTCTACCCGCTTAAAGTCTATTTTGCCCTCCGGGTCCCTAAACCCCAGTGGTTTGAAAAACTCTGCGACATCATCCTGAACTACAGGGTGAAGCCCTTTACAGAACATTACCAAGTGTTCGGCAGTTTCTTCTTCCTCTCCACACGCACTGTATACTGTGTCTACCCCTTCATATTTGGCCCGATATGTCTTGGTTCGCAGTACTCTCGTCCTGGCCTCAAACAGTAGAGAACTACCCTGAGTATTATCATAGATCCTTTTCTTGGCAATTTCCTGCTTAAAAGTACGATAGATCTCTAGTGCGGACTTATTAATCATGCCGATTCTCCACATATCGGTCTCAGCTTCCTTCACCTTTTTCTTAACCGACAATTCTTTTTGGTTTGGCCTCCTGCTGCTTTCTAAGTATTTACCAGTCAATTTTCTGGTTCGCTTCCTCTATTTTGTATCGACATTCTTCATGTACAAGTAGCTGAATACCTTCCTAGCCCAACACTCCCCCTTCATTTCTCTCAATTGCTTCTCAAATTTTATCTTGCTGCAAGCTTCTCTGCCCTCAAAACATGTCCATCCCATATCACCTTGTACGTCCTGATTTGGTGTATTCCCGTGAGCTCCTAAGGCAAGCCTACCTATTCCACGTTGCTTAATTTCTAATCTTGCTTGAACTTCTGATCTCATACACAAGACCGCATTGCCGAACGTCAGCCCAGGAACCATGACCCCTTTCCATATTCTTCTCACAACATCATACCTATTGTAATTCTACAGTGCCCTATTTTTCATCACTGCTGCATTCCAGTTACCTTTAGTCGTCACGTATATTTCGTGTTCCCTCAGGTACTCGGTCCCATTGCTTATCCATACGCCCAGATATTTGTATTTATCTGTTATCTCTAGCGTGACCTTCTGTATTCTAAGCTCACTACTTTCGTTGTCATTGAAAATCATGACTGCTGATTTTTTCTTACTGAATCTAAAATCTATCCTATCTCCCTCATTACCACAGATGTCCATCAATCTCTGCAAATCTTCCTTTTTGTTGGTCATTAGCACTATATCATCTGCGTACATTAATGCTAATAGTGCCTGATCATTGATTTTTCCTTGTTTGACTAAAGAGAGGTTGAAGCCCAGTCCACGTCCCTCTAATTTGGCCTCTAATCCTTGTAGGTACATCACGAATAATAAAGGTAACAGGGGACACCCCTGCCTAAGCCCCCGTTTTACCTCTGCAGGCTTGGATACCTGTTTTCCCACTTTATAACTACATTGTTACCTTTAGAGATATCCTTTAAAACATAAGTGACTACATGTTCCACGCCTAGTGTGTCCTGTATTCCCCACAAGTCCTCTTGAACCACGCTATCGTACGCTCCCTTGATATCCAAAAATGCTAGCCACAGGGGCTGTGTTCCTTTTCTGCTATTTCGATACACTGCGTTAGTGAGAACAGATTGTCTTCCAACCTCCTGTGTTTCCGAAACCCATTCTGCAGTTCCTCCTTATTGGGTCTCCCATTGCGCCACCTGTAGGCAAAGAAAGGTGTGAATATCAAAAGTATTTAGACAATGCAACGCCCAAGCACCACAGCACATGCACCTCCACGGAGCTATGTTGGCATTTAGTTAAGAACGCCCACCCCGAAACTCAGTATTCCCTTCGAATGGGTGACAATAAATCCAAGTTCCGACCACCCACCGGTCAACCACGAAAACTGGCATAGAGTAAATTAGCAACTGAGGATACTTCACAATGATGTACAGGCCGTATTTGTGAAAATAGAAGCTCAAGATACGCAAAGCGCTTTTTTTCCCAACTCTGTCGTGGTCCTATCACTCTTGTGTTATTTGTTCTCGCACTATTTTCATCATATAATACATACACCAATAAATCCCGCATTATGAATACTTTTTTCATAAACAAATGAACATTCTCATAAAAAACCGTAAAAGAACCCGCATTTTTCGGTGTTTCCGAATGGTTAAAAATGATGTTTCGCAGTGATGGCTCAAAGCAGTCGTTTCGTAAAAACTAATTTGGGCAGAACGTTTTCACTTGCGGGTGCAAAGCTCAAATTGCCCTATGTAATGACATTCAACCAGTACACGCCTGAGTTTCAGATATAATAACATGATTTTTTTCAGCGGGATTTTGACGGAAAGCCACCCTGTACACTTGAATTCAAAGTACATCACAAAATAAATAAATAAATAAGCAAATGTTTTGTTTTACTAGGGCCATCTATTAAAAGAGGATTACTAAGGATTACAAACTTTTGTCCCTGCATAAACCTATATAATGAGGTGATCTCACTGTAAACTCATGCATTTTTATTTCCGGATCATTGTTTACCTTCTTCTTTCGCATAACATCACCTCAATACATTATTTACATCAATACTTTCACATCCCATTTTTTAAAATTCTTTTCTTTGTTGTTGTGCGCATTTACACCACGTAATGACGGACCCACTTCGTTCGAGTTCACTGCGTGCGGCACTTTTGAATGTATGGTAGTAATAGCGCGAACTCGGAAGGTTACATTAGGAGCGTTTTGTTTTGTTTCTATTTGGTGTCTGTGCGTCTTTGCCTGCCGATATGAAAAATTAAATCCGGAACTTCGTGCTAATAAGCGGAACACTATTGTAGTTTCCATACACTGAGCCACATTTTGATGTTCACTCACCATTCTAATGCGTAGCAGTCTTTGGCGCACGTGTCCTGAAAATCCAAGCGTCCACCTTCCATGCATGATTAAAAAGAAAAAAAAAGAGAAGGCCTTGTCCTTTCGGGAAAATAGGGGCAAGCAATGTGTTGCCCTGGCATGCCTGACTTTTTTTCTTTTTTTTCCTTTCTTTCTTTTTTTCTTTCTTTCTTTTTTCTTTCTTTCTTTTCTTCTTTTCTTCCTTTCTTTTTCCTTTCTTTCTTTCTTTCTTTTTTTCTTTCAAATCTCGCAATGCTTTCTCCTAACTGTTGCCATCCTACAAGCCAGGAATCGTGCAACATTTCAATTACTATATATACAGGCAACGATGACGATAATGCGTTCATATCCAGGCGCAATGATATGTGAAAAAATTAAATGACAAGTGACCCCAATAACAGACCGAATTGCGACTCATCGCCGCGTCAGGTCGACGATCGAGAGAACACAAGTCATTGGTAGGCGGCCCAAAGGAATACGGGCCTGGCCCAACTTTGAGGTTCGCATTTCTGTGCGATCGCCGGCATGGGGTTTTTCGAGCACAACGCCGAAATGTGTGAGGTATAAAAGCTTTGCTTAAAAGAAAAAAAAAGTGTGGGCCGGTCTCAGAGAGGACCCGCGGAACCAGTAATGAGGCTTCCTACAGTGCAATATTAGGCCCAGTGACGGCCCCACATTCGCACGCATTTTTTCAATACAGGGGTACAATCCAAAATTCTAGACCACGTGTGTGCAAGTGACAGTGGTTGGCGGGTGTGGCGCAATAGTGACGTTTCATGTATATGAGCCATACTTAAGCACCCATTGGCCCGTACTTGGTAAACTAGAAAACGTACAAGTGGAAACGCGATGAGAAGTACCAGAGACAAACACGAAGACAGGACATATATAAGAGGAATTCGGCACATACGCCTACGTGAGTATTAGTGTATAAATTGTCTTCGATGCTATGCACTCACGCGCGAACACCGCCAAACTTGTGTTCGGCTTGAGCGCTGATTTGTTGTGATTGGCTGTTTCAGGTCCCTTCTATCCTTTCGGGTACCCCGCCTACCCCCCAATGTTCCCACCGTGGATGCGGCCACCCTCGCCGTCACTGTCGCAGCACTCGCTGCCAATGGGCGATGAGTCGGGCGAGCGGCTGCAAAGGCCGCACCACCGCAAGCACAAAAAGAGCCTGAGCAAGACCACGTCTCGACGCCAGTCTTCGCAGGACCTGTCCTCTGAGGAGGAGAATGACAGGGACAGCCCGTCTCTGGATGAGCGATCTTCCAGAGGTAAGCCAGCGGCTCATGACCACCTCTCATTTTCTACCGTTGTCGGTTGCTTGGAGTGGATGTGTAGAAAAAAGTCGCAGTTTCACCGCAACGGCGATTCAGCGAATGCAATGTAGCAGCAAATTCAAATGTTAAACGAAGTAATGCTGGCAGCTGATTTGAATGTAGTCGAAAGTACAGTATACACGAACACGACACAGATGCTGCCATTGTGCTACCTAAACCGACTCAAAATTCATATTACGAAAAAGAAGACGATTAAAACTCTGGCACTTTCATTATGAAAGACGTGGGGAGTGAATATAGGTCCGCTAATCGAAACCCTCTGCAATATTCTGGCATATTAATTCTCACATACATTACTTAAATGACATCACCAGGGCACTCAGTTGTCTAGAGCATACCAGCTCTTCGGTTGACCATCTCATAAATATCCGTACGCGATATGACAGTAAAATTAGGAGTCAAGATAGGGAAGCGATACAATTCAACGAAGATAGTTAGCCCAGTTCCCCCCCCCCTCCCCCCCAAAAAAGTCTCCAGAAACCAATGCTAGAATGCCTCTATATTTCAGGAATCAAGGTAGTTAGCACTGAGTTCAAACAGACCACAATGAAAAAACTCACAGCTTTGCCGCAAAGGCGAAGCAATAAACGTGATAGCAACAAACTGAAAGGTCACGCGCAGAATGCGAAGCAGATCGAAACGTGCCCTGCGTTTTTCACGCACAAATGACGCACGAAACGTACTCACAGGTGCGAATTCACGCAAATAAGCGTCTCATTAGTTACTTCGCTGTGTCTGAAAAGCGCGCGCTTTTCGCAAACGGAGGCTGCAATTATTGCAGTGACCTTTGTGCACCCGGTAACTACAGCAGAATCGTCCCTGTTAAAGTTCGAGGCCAGCCAAGACGTATGATCCTACCCTCTTCGCCACTACGGATAAGGGCGCGCGAGGGAGCGTTGCTCCCATTCTCAAAGCCGGACAAATTGTGCGTAGGAGATTGATTGATATGTGGGGTTTAACGTCCCAAAACCACTATATGATTATGAGAGACGCCGTAGTGGAGGGCTCCGGAAAATTTAGACCACCTGGGGTTCTTTAACGTGCACCCAAATCTATGCACACGGGCCTACAACATTTCCGCCTCCATCGGAAATGCAGCCGCCGCAGCCGGGATTCGAACCCGCGCCCTGCGGGTCAGCAGCCGAGTACCTTAGCCACTAGACCACCGCGGCGGGGCAAGGCGTAGGAGATTCGAGCGGGCGCCGCCGTGCGATGTGGCGATGCTAAAACCTCTATACTTCGTAAAAGTACCGCCATCTGCTATGCATCTGCAATAGGTATAGAGGCTTTAGGCGACGCGCGCTCATTGCGCCGTCTTGCCGGTAATGCTGAAAACAGAATTGCCCCCGCCCCGCCGCGGTGGTCTAGTGGCTAAGGTACTCGGCTGCTGACCCGCAGGTCGCGGGATCGAATCCCGGCTGCGGCGGCTGCATTTTCGATGGAGGCGGAAATGTTGTAGGCCCGTGTGCTCAGATTTGGGTGCACGTTAAAGAACCCCAGGTGGTCGAAATTTCCGGAGCCCTCCACTACGGCGTCTCTAATAATCATATCGTGGTTTTGGGACGTTAAACCCCACATATAATTCAAATCAATCAGAACTGCCCCCGAGATGCTCGTGAGCAGCGGTAAGCGGTAGATACAAATACCTTGCCGTTTGAACGGTGAAGGATGCGCTTTGGGGTGGCTCAGTGGTTAGCGCCCCGCTTCCATTATGCAGAGGTCCCACGTTCGATTCCGCGGGCTGGAGTGCTTTTCTGGGTATTGAATTTCTTTCTTGCATTTTCATATACATATAGATATACGTATACATATACGGTGAGTGATGGCGACGCCAACGTCAACGCCGGCGCCGGCGGCAAAATTCAGCTGATAGTGTCCATATATTTACTATAGCTATAAAAAAATAATAAGGCCACAGACAAATTCATACCTCCTTACAATTGCCTATCAGAAAAATGCAGCAGTTGCCAAGCTTTTTTTTCGTAAATTGGACCAAAATATATGGAGTAATAGAAAAAATACTTTCCTTCAGTTCAACTAGCACATTCGGGCGGTGATTCCCGCTCTTACACCGAAAAAAATAAAACATGCGCACGCTGAAATCTCATGCGCTCTTCTTTCTGCCGCGATCTCTGCCGCCGTCGCAACCCACGCCCTCTCGCGGTAGCCGAGTCCTTCCTCCTTCCTTCTTCTTCCTTCCTTCCTTCCTTCCTTCCTTCCTTCCTTCCTTCCTTCCTTCTGCCTTCCTTCCTTCGTCCTTTCCTTCCTTCCTTCCTTCCTTCCTTCCTTCCTTCCTTCCTTTCCTATCCTTCTGCCTTCCTTCCTTCCTCCTCCTCCTTCCTTCCTTCCTTCCTTCCTTCTTCATTCCTTCCTTCCTTCCTTCCTTCCTTCCTTCCTTCCTTCTTCCTTCCTATCCTTCCTTCCTTCCTTCCTTCCTTCCTTCCTTCCTCTTCCTTCTTCCTTCTTCTCATGCCGTTCCTTCCTTCCTTCATTCCTATCCTTCCGTTCCTTCCTTCCTTATTTCCTTCCTTCCTCCTTCCTTCCTCCTCCTTCCTTCCGTCCTTCCTTCCTTCTTTCCTTCCTTCCTCTTCCTTCTGCCTTCCTTCCTCTTCCTTCCTTCCTTCCTTCCTTCCCTTCCTTACTTCCGTCCTTCCTTCCTGCCTTCCTTCCTTCCTTCTGCCTTCCTTCCTTCCTTCCTTCCTTCCATTCCTTCCGTCTCCTTCCTTCCTTCCTTCCTTCCTTTCCTTCCTGCCTTCCTTCCTTCCTTCCTTCCTTCCTTCCTTCCTTCCTGCTTCCGTCCTTCCTTCCTTCCTTCTCCTTCCTTCCGTCCTTCCTTCCTTCCTTCCTTCCTTCCTTCCTTCCTCCTTCCTTCCTTCCTTCCTTCCTCCTCCTTCCTTCCTTCCTTCCTTCCTTCCTTCCTTCCTTCCTTCCTTCCTTCCTTGCCTTCCTTCCTTCCTCCTTCCTTCCTTCCTTCCTTCCTTCCTCCTTCCTTCCTTCCTTCCTTCCTTCCTTCCTCCTTCCTCCTTCCCTTCCTTCCTTCCTCCTTCCCTTCCTTCCTCCTTCCTTCCTCCTTCCTCCTTCCCTTCCTTCCCTTCCTTCCTTCCTTCCTTCCTTCCTCCTTCCTTCTTCCTTCCTCCTTCTTCCTTCCTTCCTTCCTTCCTTCTTCCTTCCTTCCTCCTTCTTCCTTGTCCTTTCCTTCCTTCCTTCCGTCCTTCCTTCCTTCCTTCCTTCCTTCCTTCCTTCCTCTTCCTTCCTTCCTTCCTTCCTTCCTTCCTGGGCCATTCCTTCCTTCCTTCCTTCCTTCCTCCTTCCTTCCTTCCTTCCTTCCTTCTTCCTTCCTCCTTCCTTCCTTCCTTCCTTCATTCCTTCCTTCCTTCCTCCTTCCTTCCTTCCTTCCTTCCTTCCTTCCTTCCTCCTTCCTTCCTTCCTTCCTCTTCCTTCCTTCCTCATTCCTTCCTTCCTTCCTCCTCCTTCCTTCCTTCCTTCCTTCCTTCCTTCCTTCTTCCTTCCTTCCTTTCCTTCCTTCCTTCCTTCCTTCCTTCCTTCCTTCCTTCCTTCCTTCCTTCCTTCCTTCCTTCCTTCCTTCCTTCCTTCCTGCCTTGAAGCATTACGTACCAACGCCATCAATAGAGACATGTGCGGTACAGAAGATCTAGGCACTTGGGGATTCTAAGAGAGAGAACGGGGCAAATGTAAGGAAAGGAGGTTAACCATGCAGGGTTTGCATGGTTCAATACTCTACACAAGGGGAGCGGTACAGAGGAGAAAAAGGATAGAGAAAGTGAGGAAGAAAGAGAGAACAAGTGATCCGCGTGCACACATGCCAGTGTTCACCACGCGCACTTGTAAAGTCACAATTGGGAAGTGTTTGCGATCAGTTCCTGTGCGGTTGTCTAAATGTAGACTGGGATTAAAGACATACAGCCCAGGCTGTGGGGAGGAAAAGTAGTTTCGTTGTACAAGTTCGGGGGTGGTGGTGAGCGCACCCGAGTATCCTCGTAACTGACGCCAGTTCTATAATGCCAAGTGTGCCCCATCTTGCCACGCGCATTAACGCTATGATTTGAATCAAGATGTATGATCACTTCAGAACAAGATTAGCACAAGTGGCTATTGCGGCCCATAATTGTTTCTGCGTATCTTTTTTATGCACTGACCACAGATATATCACTGTCGTGTTAAAGGTTAGGCAGCTTCTCAAGCGTCATTAGGGTACATCATTTCGCGTAGATCTCTCACGATATATCACGTGCTTTTCAGGATGCAATGGTATTCCCGTTTTTACCCTGCTCGATAAGAAACTATTTGCTCTTTTCGAGTAGATCGAGGAAGTCATTCGAGTGAGAAGGTGAAGAACCGTGGGCGCACACCTTCCAGTCGAGACCGAGAGGAGGTGAAGGCACCTGAGAAGGCCGAGGCCCTTCAGACTACCACCAATAGGGAACATTCCGAAGCCATCAGACAGCAGCAGGCCCGCCTTCTCGCGGTCGCGGGCCAGGCTGAGAAGCAGCACGCCCAGACACCCACCGAACAGCCTGGGCTAGAACAAGTGGCGCCCACTGCCGCATCATCACAACCCAAATGGGACCCGACGAAGCCTTGGCGTTGTCAGCATTGTACCTTCATCAATGAAGCTGGTTCGCGTATTTGTTTAATCTGCTGCAAAACAACGTTTCGCGAACAGTCTCCGGCTCCTGTCTCTGACGACGAAGAGCGTCAAAAGAAGAGAGCCGGCTTTCAGGACACACTGGCAGACAAGGAGATCGAGCTGCCTCCAACCAAGAGTGACGCCGATCCCGCCAAGAGCGAGCCAGATCCTGCTGAGACCAAGCCCGAGGCCAAGCTGTGCACCAGCACCGACGACAACCAGGTGAACTTCACGGACGAGTTTATTAAGGAGCAGCAAGAGGTGGAGAAGGTGAGCGGGACATGTCGTGGCCCGCAGCTGTCGAAAACGAGTATGCTCAAAAACTACTTTATTGCTATATAGTATTAGCATAAGCACAGTAGTTACAGATTATTAGCCGTAGTTGTAGCACTAGTAGCAGACATTTAGCCGGAAACAGTGGCAGAATATAATAGTATTAGTAGTAGCAGTGGTAGTTGTAGTAGTAGTACCAGTAGTAGTAGTAGTAGCAGTGGTCGTAGTAGTAGTACTAAGCACATAAGGTTACTACAGGATGGGTTTTCCCAGTAGTAAGCAAAGTCTCGCAGAGATAGACCGGCAGTCAAAGAGTCAGTGGTCAAACGTTTATCACGCCGTAAACATGAGGCTAAACGTAATGAAATGGCTCGTTTTCAGGCGCTAGCGTACTGGTCAAGAATACAAATATATCATCGGAGTCTTCAATTAGTCACAACTGTGGGAAAGCGGTGACGGAGATTGGTATCACACCTCTTGGTCATGCGTGCGTTCAACTGCTGGCAGCGATAGCCGCATTCCAATCATGACGGAACGGAAGAACGTTCGTACGTTCTTGCCATGAGGACAGGCTAATGAAACCTAATTGGCCAGCATTAAGACGGATTTTCTACTACGCCTTACATCATACACGTTGTTGCTTCTATGTTACAACCATAACTCCTTGAGATCTTGGTTTTCAGAAATTTTCAATAAAATTTGTTATGAGCCCCGAGAACGAACACTGGTGTCACTGCAGTGATGGCAAAGTGACGTCACGGCATGGTTCACCTGCTCCGCTGCCGACGCATTCCGACGGCAGCTTCTTTCCGAGCCCACCGTGTACCCGCTCTTCAGCGTTACGGTGGTGATTCCATATCAATTTCGAGTAGTACATTACTAATAGGACTAAGTAAAGGTATTTATTGCTGTTAAAAGTTAAGTAAGGCTAAGAAAGTATGAATCCACTTTGAAAATGAAAGTACAAGACATCAAGTGATTGACTTGTGGGGTTTAACGTCCCAAAACCAACATATGATTATGAGAGGCGCAGTAGTAGAGGGCTCCGTAAATTTCGACCACCTGGGGTTCTTTAACGTGCACCCAAATCTGAGCCCACAGGCCTACAACATTTCTGCCTCTATCGGAAACGCAGCCGCCGCAGCCGGAATTCGAATCCACGACCTGCGGGTCAGCAGCGGAGTACCTTAGCCACTATACCACCGTGGCGGGGCTACAGGACATCGAGACAATAGTTGTTTTTGCCATGCAATTACTCGATGAAATCAATGCTAAGAAAACATTCATGCTGAATTGGTCTTCATTACAACGTGTCATAGACTACGCGATTAAACATTTTTGTCCAAGTATGACAAATGAAATTTGAACGTTTTCACTTTATGCACAGCATTGTGGTTTACCGTGCAAGTTATGTCTGTTTTTGCAAATAATGTGGCTCATTATACAGAATTCCGCTTTGGGATGCAGGAGAGTCTAGATGAACCTGTCTTTTATACACAACCACTTATAATAGCGAGAAAAAAAGTTACGCCACAAACTATACAAAATGGTTTCCGGAATTCTTAGTTCATTGATTAATGGATTAATATGTGCCACCATATGATTATGAGAGACGCTATAGTGGAGGGCTCCGGAAATTTCGACCACATGGGGCTCTTTTCTGAAATTTTGAGAAGGTGGTATATTCGGATCTCATGTACAGATTTCTTCTCAACAGTCGTCAGGATTACGCAGTCGCATACCCCGATTAACGCGAACAGCAGACTCGATCTACCAACACATCATAAACGGTAAGGTTCACTTCCCCTAAGAGCACTGCTGATAGCAATCGTTTGCAAAACAAACGCCAGAAGGTCGAAATGAACTGTTAGGATGGCGCATGCCGCTTCGTGGCCCACGTGGTAATGAAACGCCATTTGCCTCAGTGAAGCAACAATTGGTCTCGCACGTCGCGTTTGAATACATATTGACGCTTTTCTGGGATAATAAACTGTTGAAAAATTTATTCGTGAGGTGGCTACCTGAAATGGTACTTACAAGGATGACAGCACAGCTGCTGGGATGTTGCACGTTGACACTATCTCAAATCAGTAGCAGTTTCTGCAACTAACCTTTAACGAGCTTTTCTAGTGAAACGGAGCACCAAAATTGTTCCCCAAGACATGAAGCTAAATAACGTGATGAAATATGAGCAACTACACACAAGAAAGTTAACGGAACAGCTGCGGAGGTATTCTCGGGTGAATGCATTCGAGATAATTTGCGTCACTCGAAAGTAACTTAAGCACGCGCCCACAAAAAAAAAAAAAAAAACGCTGCCAGCAGTTACTCTGATGCTTCCGATTCAGATAACAATTGTGGAGGAAAAACGACCACATCTTTTTGAAAAAATCGCCCGTGAACAACGCAACCTGATATGCAAGTACGCTGTCGTTTACGTTGCAGAAGCACGACATGATTGCGAGGCACGCTGCAGAGTAATCGGGGTCACCTCGTATTTTTTAACCTGCTGCACATGCATTGTCTTGCTGTTCACGTCGGAGTGAGACTACCGTGGCCGATGATTGAACACATCTTCGAAGTAAGCAGCGTGGCATCATCACCAACCTCATCAAAGCGTGTACGCTGGAGCGCAAACACCACGTTGGACATGTAAGAAAATGCTTAGTTGTTATCGTTGTACCCAGAACATCATCGACGCTGCTTCCGTCATTTATTTTAAGCGTGAGACAAGTAAAAAGTGAACGCTGGCAGCGCAACGGCGTTCAAAGCGAGCGCATGTTATGTACAGACCTATTCCATGTTTGTAAACACAGGTAGGCCTATGTCGACATTATGGATAAAATTATATCAACGTCCGCACGTAACTTCAGCCATAAGCGCTGAGGGCTGCGATGTGCGCCAACAAAACGACGTTGTGAGACGCCATAAGCGTTGTGAAAGCCATAAGCGCTGAGGGCTGCGATGTGGGCCAACAAACAAAACTAAGTTGGGAGACGCAACTCACATCCAACGGCGACGCAGTTCGTCGGCATACCGTTTTTTTCCCTCGTTGCTTGATTGAAAACAACACATACGCCATTGAAAACCCAGCAGAAACTACGGTAGGCAGAGCGTCTTTTGCCTACCAAGAAAGCGCCAGTGACGTGAGTCCAGTGGAATTTGTCCATATGCGCGCTACAGCAAGATTCAAAAAGTCCGTGCTGTGACGTCATTCAAGCCTCTCACCAGGCGGCGCCACTCCAACTTCTCGGGGCTAATATATGTACTGATTTCTACAAATTTGAAAAATACATTTCCTTCAGCTCTTTACCTCTGTTGTACAACTGGCCTGAGGCTTGGTGTACGTGGTGAACTGACCAGGTTAACAGATGAGTGTCGGTGTTCAAAAAAGTGGTAAGCTTGATTGTTGTGGTTGGTTAGCTAGTTGTTTATGAATTGACGGAGGTTAAGACATCAGAAATGAAGTGCGTTAGGAGGCTGTTACTGTATACACGGTGTGAGAAAGTAATTTAACTGAGCTGCTTACCTTCTGTTATGGGTAAAGTGCGCGAGTGATGTGATTTTTGAATTTGGTTCCGCAAGATAGACTACTGAAAAATGTGTTACCTGCACCAGTGCGGTGAACACTGGCAATTGAAAAAGAAGAAAAACCCCAAGAAATTCGCAGAAAAGAATCCATGATTTGTGGGGTTCAACGTCCCAAAACCACTACTTGATTATGAGAGACGCCGTAGTGGAGGGCTCCGGAAATTTCGACCACCTGGGGTTCTTTAACGTGCACCCAAATCTGTGTACACGGGCCTACAACATTTCCGCCTCCATCGGAAATGCAGCCGCCACAGCCGGGATTTGATCCCGCGACCTGCGGGTCAGCAGCCGAGTACCTTAGCCACTAGACCACCGTGGCGGGGGCAGAAAAAAATCCAGAGCCACGGCATCGAAGAAGGAGGAAGAGGAAGAATCGTGCTCGTGCTTGGAAGAACGCGGCTAGGGTGTGGCGTGCGAGTTCATCGGATGCAGGTACCGAGGCTTCAAGGCATCCACCTAGCCGGCGACGACAATCCCGGTGTCCTGGTGACCATTCAACCATCACCGAGGCTATTGGCTGGCTCCTGGCACGGCCTGGTTCTGGTGTTTGAGCTGAAGACAGCACCGCAGATGAAGTCGTCTACCGGGAGTGGGTGCGAGCCATCGGGCTACGGGCTCGAGCTTATGCACTCTCACCACGGCAGCTTCACCGCTGGACTGTTGAAGGGCGCGAACAGCTGGTGAGCCGTATCTTATCTCTTTGCGCGTCTGGACTCCAACTCAAGAACTCGAGAGACTCTTTAGACTCTTAGATGTTTCCTCTCGTTAACGAAAACTTTGCGCGTCTGGACTCCAACTCAAGAACTCGAGAGACTGTTTAGACTCGTAGATGTTTCCCCTCGTTGACGAAAACTGCCGGTGTTTGTTAGCTTACTTTTTGCTGATCTTAGCATTCTCCTTTTCGTGTTTTTTTGTTTTTGTGAAAAATATTTTTTTTTCAGGCAAATGAAACGCTCACCTCCTTTTCTCTTCGGAGAATAACGTTCACAGCTAGCTCAACTGGCTTTATTTACCGAACCTGTCACAAATTGGCGTTCATTGCGACAGGACGTCAGCGTTTGACACTAAATAGTAGATTTACATAGCGACAACGAAAGGAAGCAAATGGGCTCACGAGAGTTGATGGCACTGGCAGAACGCATGGGGTTGGAAAAAGCGGGATTGCAGACATTGTTGACGCACCAGAAGCGCGTGAGCGCCTTGAACAAGCGGATGAGAGAGATGCAAAGAAAAAAACAGTTGGAGCTGGAAGGCTGCAATTTACAGCTACGTCTTCAAATAGCACAAACGGAGAGCGAAAGTCGAGAAGCAAGCCAGCGACACTTGGAAATGGAAGAGAGGACGCTGAAACTACGCCTGATAGTAGCTGAGGCCGGTGTCGGTGAACCTATGGTGGCTGACACTTGCATCCAAAACAACGCATCTGCGGTAGTGAACGCGCGCAACTTTATACCCGTTTTTAACGAGGACAGAGATGGCCTCAATGCCTACCTTAAGATGTTCGAGAAAATAGCAGCAGGTCAACATTGGCCACGGGAAAAGTGGGCTACCGCTCTTAGTTTATGCCTTAGCGGTGAGGCTCTGAGAGTATTGAAGTATTTGGGCGGTTATCACCGGACGATTCCCTGTCATACGACAAAGTCAAATTGGCGCTGCTCCGGCGTTTTCCCTTCATGGCTCATGGCTACCATGAGAAATTTCGAATGAGCAAGCCTGAAGACGTTGAAACTGGAAGACAATATGCCGCAAGACTCCAAAGTTCCTTTGATAGGTGGATAGAAATGTCTCAGACAGAAAACTTTATTTTGCCCTTGACTTGATTGTGGCCGAAAAATTCATGGCTAACTGCAGCAGTCAGCTGGCGCTCTTCTTACGGGAGAAGAACTGCAACACTATAGTGGTCATGGCAGAGGCAGCTGATATGTATATATCGAAGCAAAGATATTAAAGAACTTGTTAATAGTTAAGGATGAGAGTGAGGATACAAATGTAAAGGCTGAATTAATTTCAAGCCCAAGAGCAGAGACGCAATGTTTCGTTTGTGGCAGTAAGGGGCCCAAAGCTTCCGACTGTCGAAGTAAGCCAAAAGAAGCGTATTGCACCAACTGCCGTAAACAGGGTCATGATTTCAAGGGCTGTCAGAAAATGAATAGCGCTTCGAACTCAACTACTTCTTGTGTGATGCTACCCAAAGAGCCGACTTCTCCACAACAATCCACGATTGATGGCGACGACTCGGACCAAGATGATAATGTTACGGTCATGGTGAAGACGCAAGCGGAATGTAAGAAACGTCCCATGCCAGTGTTACCAGGTAAGGTGAATGGACAAATCATTCGATTGCTCAGGGTCACCGGAAGCAGCACGTTGATAGTACGCCGGTCAGTAGTACCTGATGAAGCACTGACTCGCACTACCAAGACGTTGTGGTTGGCTGATGGTAGCACCACCGTAGTCCCCGAGGCGGAGATACATATCAGATCTCCATACTTCTTCTTCATGGTCATTGTCAAGTGTATGCCGTCGCCATTAAATGATGTCATAGTCGGAAACGTACCGGGTTCCCGTGACGCCAATAACCCCGATATTTCTTGAGAACTTTCTTCTCGGGATCAAGTGAGTGAGAAGGACGTTCATTCGGTGGACGAAGAGAACTGACCGAATTCGCTACTGGTTGTTGTCAGAGGTCTCAAGAGTTCACGAAGGTCTACACCTGCTAAACTCCCTGGGCAGATGCTTCGCAAATATTTCCGCGAAGAACAAGAAAAAGATCGGACACTTGACACCTGCAGAGCCAGAGTGGGTAAGAGGTTTGTCGGCAAGCGCTCAATATCCTTTTCGTTCGTCGGCAAGAATGGTATTCTTTACCAACAATATTCCCGTCTCCTGGTAAGAGCATTCAACAGGCCATAGTCCCGAAGTCTCTGAGAGCCCAAGTGTTACGTTTGGCTGATGACAATTTCATGTCAAGTCATCAGTCTCCAAAAAGAAACAATAGATCGAGTTCTGGACGCATTCTACTGGCCTGGCGTACAAGAAAATATACGCAGATATGTCCGATCATGTGACGCCTGTCAAAGAACTTTGCCGAAAGGTAGGGTGGGCAAGGTGCCTCAAGGACGTATGCCGGTGATCGACACTTCTTTTAAACGTGTGGTGTTCGACATCATTGGAAAGATAACTTCAGCTTCGGCAAAAAGCCATCGATATATCTAGACTCTTTTGGATTTTGCCGCACGCTAAGCCTTTGACAGCAGTTGACTCAGCTAAAGGGGCCGAGGGACTTGTCGAGATGTTTTCTCGCATTGGTTTCCCACGAGAAGTCTTGTCTGATCAAGCATCGTGCTTTACCTCAGATCTAATTAAAGAGGGGAACAAACTACTGGCTGTGGAATATTTGAGCTGCTCTCCATACCACCCTATTCACAACGGGATGGTAGAGAGGTTTAACAGAAGACTCAAGGAAATTCTCTGCAATATGGACCAGGAACAGACCAAATGTTGGGATTGCGTGCTAGCACCTCATTTGTTCTCATGGAAGTCATCAGTCGTGAAGCTTAAACGCGTGAGCAGCACCAATTTGACTTTGTCATTTGCGAGAGAATCGTCCGGTGATAACTGCCCAAATACATTAAGAGCCTCTCCACTAAGGCATTAACAAAGATCGGTGGCCCACTTTTCCCGTGGGTAATCTTGACCTGCTGCCACTCTTTTGAACCTCTTCAGGTAGGCATCTAGATCGTCTCTGTCCTCGTTGAAAACGGGTATAAAGTTATGTGGGTTCACTACAGCAGATGCGTTCGTTTGGATGCAAGTGTCAGCCACCATAGGTTCACCGACACCGGCCTCAGCTACTATCAGACGTAGTTTCAGCGTCCTTTCTTCCATTTCCAAGTGTCGCTGGCTTGCTTCTCGACTTTGGCTCTCCGTTTGTGCTACTTGAAGACGTAGCTGTAAATTGCAGCCTTCTAACTCCAACTGTTCTTTATTTGCATATCTCTCATCCGCTCGTTCAAGGCGCTCACGCGCTTCTCGTGCGACAAACCATGCCTGCAATTCCGCTCCTTCCAACCCCATGCGTTCTGCCAGTGCCACCAACTCTGGAGAGCCCATTTGCTTCCTTTCCTTGTCGCTATGCAACTCTACTATTTAGTGTCAAACGCCCACGTCCTGTCGTAACGGCCACCAATTTGTGACAGGTTCGGTAAATAAAGCCAGTGGGGCTAGCTGTGAACGTTATTCTCTGGAGAGAAAAGGAGGTGAGTGTTTCATTTGCCTGAAAAAAATATTTTTTCACTGAAAAAACATTTTTTCACAAAAACAAAACAAAAACACGAAATGGGGAATGCTAAGATCAGCAAAATGTAAACTAACAAACACCGGCAGTTCTCGTTAACGAGGGGAAAACTCTACGAGTCTAAACAGTCTCTCGAGTTCTTGAGTTGGAGTCCAGACGCGCAAGGAGATAAGATACGGCTGACCAGTAATTCACGCCCTTCAACAGTTCTGCGGTAAAGCTGCCGTGGTGGGAGTGCATAAGCTCGGGCCCGTAGCCCAATGGCTCGCTCCCGCTCCCGGTAGACGACTTCATCTGCGGTGCTGTCTTCAGCTCTAACACCAGAACCAGGCCGTGCCAGGAGCTAGCCAATAGCCCGGTGATGATTGAATGGTCACCAGGACCCCGTGATTGTTGTCACCGGCTAGGTGGATGCCTTGACGCCTCGGTACCTGCATCCGATGAACTCGCACGCCTCACCTAGTCGTGTTCTTCCAAGCAGCAGCACGATTATTTCTCTTCCTCCTTCTTCGATGCCGTGGCTCTGGATTCTTTTCTGCAATTTTCTTGAGGCTTTTCTTCTTTTTCGATTGCCAGTGTTCGCCACACCGGCACAGGTAAGACTTTGTCAGTAGTCAATCTTGCCGCGCCAAATTCGAAAATCAGTTCACTCGTGCACTTCGCTCATAACACCTTCCTACAAGACGTGCCCGTGTAAGCAAGAGAGTTCACACTGATTCACCGACGTAGATTATCTGATTTCTTATTTAGCTGGTGACACTGCATCGATGTGATTTTTCATTCTCTTCAACAATACGCAGGAAATTCGCCGTCGCCTCGAAATCCAGATGCGTATAGAGGAAGAAAATCGTCGTATCGAAACCGCGGATGTGGTGCAAGAAAGCCGGACAGTACAGCACTTCCAAGGAGACAATGCAGAGACTGAGAGCTCGAGCCTGACACCGCAACAAGCTTTGGCGCTTAGTGCCGAAGCTGAGCCTTCGCCTTCCACCCTCTCGAGTGCAACGGCAACCACTGCGCAAACAGGTTCTAGCTACCACTCAAACATCCAGCAGTGTAACTCGTCTAGCCAAACGATGTCTGTTGGTGACGAGCCGAGTCCAGCTACGAGTGACTCTTTGCTGCTGGACGCAACGTCGCCAGTGACTATGCAGGGAGTGAGACCCAAAGTTTTGTATAAGGCATCCGTAGCTACAGACACGGAGGATTTTACGGACCCTTCAACGTCGTCGCCGTTGTCGGATTCCCAGCAAGACAGGCAGGAGCGCCACCGGATTTTTACCAATGCCAAGGCGCAGTCCTTCGATCATCCCCGGCCGGCATTCTTGCAACCAAAGGGCGCACAGCCGGTCGTAAAGGGCACACGCATCGGTAACCTTATCAGGTGCGTTGAGTAGGCGCTGAAGGCTGCCACCATGGTTTTGTGTGTAATATACTAATTTCGCACTGAACCATTAACAAATGCTGAATTGTTTAGTGTTCACATTTCCGGAGTGCTAAGTGCTTCTGCACTAACAGAGCTACGCAACGCTAAGTTTAATGCCTAAATAACAGCAAATTTTATGTACTTTATTTTATGTTACACGCTTCATTTCAAAGGTATTCCTTATAAGATGAGTCGCTTATAATAGGCGAGTTCATATTACATGAATATTCATTGACTGATTGATTGATTTGTGGGGTTTAACGTCCCAAAGCCACCATATGATTATGAGAGACGCCATAGTGGAGGGCTCCGGAAACTTAGACCACATTGGTTTCCTTAACGTGCACCCAAATTTGAGCACATGGGTACATGAATATCCAGTCAACAACTACAGCGACACTGCCGTAAGTTCTGAATGTCACACATGCATAGTAAGGTGTGCGTACGCACGCCTAGCTTAACAGATAAAAAAAGAAAAATCTAAATAAAAAGCTGGTCATCGAAGGTAAATTCACATCTGCTCAAGCTGCAGACCAGCTGCAAACTAAATGTGAACACTAATGTTAGGACAGTCTAGAAACGAGATAGTAATTGTGAAGACAGAAACAGGCGCGGCATGTACAGTATGGTATCAGTACCATATACGATAGGGCAGAACGTGAGCACTGGCCTGCTGCTGAAACTGCGCTCGCACGCCTTGTGCAAGGACCCTGTCGAAGACGTCTCTGCAAAACACGGAGCCCGAGGGCCGCCTGTACCGCAGCCACAGTCGGTCCTCCCTGCACAGCGATATGTCAGACGCGTCGCCGATGCGCAGGGGCATCGCTAGGCACGGCTCGCTGGCGGAGTTCGACCGCCCGTTTGGCCTGGAGAGCAACAGGAAGGATGACGACGCGTCTTCGCTCGTCGGCGCCACATCCAGTAGCTACATCTCGGAGGTACGTGCTTGGCCGGATACAAGTGTTTGTTTACATTTTTAGATGGCCCACTGCATCGGTTGCTTTTTTGAATTAAAAGGACGGGTTAAAGATACAACGAGTGGCAACAGGTTTGCTAAATATATATTAAACCTGTAGCTATCGTTAGTAGTAGTGCATGGCCTGCGAGATGGCGGGCGCACAGCGTGTTTTCCTCGGGCCCTCCTAATGGCACGGAGAGACCGTGTTTCCAGAGGTGGGGTGGCCGACTCTTATCTCCGTATCGCTCTGCACCACTCCGCTTTAACAGAGGATCGAAAAGGCTAGCGCGCTGTTGGCGCAGCTTGCATAAGGCGATAAAAAATGGTTTTGCGCTTTTATATAACCTCACGTTCATTTAGAAATGTCGGGTCAAGGTGTTCAAGAGGCAGTCAATGCTGGGGCATTAACGCGAATTGCCTTTTTTTTCGAAGTAGATTTGTGTCACACATATTAGAGCAGGTATAATTGCGATGACTCGGAAAAAGATCCGAATTCGCTGGAAACTTCCTGTACGTCGCAGTTTGCGTTGTGTACAGCATGATGGGCACTGGCGGAAAAAACAATAAATGACAGCCCGACCCGTAAACGAAGTTAGAATAGAGCCACGTTCTACTCTCACGAGTTACACTCGATTACACATGCTTCTTTTTCTTTCCTTTTATGTAACTAGTGCTGATTTTCATCCGAACGCCCTTTCGAGAATTCTCGCAGACGCGCTTGTGTAATCACAGCTGCCTGCCGTCGCGACGCAGAAGCAGGACACACTGAGGAGGGTGGAGATGGTCGCGATACGTTTAGACTAAATGTCGCCAGCTCTGCGACGACCACGGGCTGCTTACAGACGCGTTTTGGTAACTTATTGCCACCCATTCACACTGTGAGTTTTGCGGTGTTCAGTGGATACGTTGGACAATGTTAGAACGAACATTGAAATCTCGCTTGTACAAAAAGAACGCAACTCGCGTTCAGAGTTTGGTGTACTTGGCATGAAACACTGCGCGTTTTATAGCAGTGACAATTTTCACTTTTTATTCCGTGGTCTACCCCGACGAATACTTATTTTTCTTACGAAAGACACCGTTGTGCTGCATGTGTGACCCTTTTATTTGGATGCCGTCGAGAATACTGTAAATAAACAAGATAGTGATATTACCATTGTGCTATCAAAACATAGTCAAAAAAACAGATGACAAAAAGGAGACGATGACAACTCAGGCACTTTCATTGTGAAAAACGTGGGGAGTAAATCTCGGTCGGCTATTTGAAGCCTTCTGCAATATTCAAGCAAAATTTCTCATCACCTTACTTCAGTGACATGACCTCAGTTACCTACATCATAAGTGTGCTTCGGTTGACCACCTCACAAATATGCGTGCGTGATAAGATAGTAAAAACATGTGTCACAATGTCAGGGCAATATGATTTAACGATGATAAGTTAGCCCAGGTTTCACCCATGCACGTCTCCAGAAAGGAGGAATCCTACTAATCCTCTATATTTCTAATATCAAGGTATTTAGCACCGAGAGAAAACGAACCGTAATGAAAGAAGCAATACTGCCATAGAGAAATTGATAACTCCCTACAATAATCTATATTAGCAAAATTTAGCACTTGCCATAATTTTTTTTCGTAAATTGAATGAAAATAAATTCAATAACAGAAAAGAAAGAAATACTTGCCTTCAGAGCAGAAGATTTTAGCAGTGAGTCTGGCTCGTTCACAAAAAAAAAGAAAAACAACAACATGCGCCCGCTGGAATTCCGTGCGTCACATTCCCTGTGAATTCACCACTGAATGCGCCCTCTCGCGGTAGCCGGGTGCTGGAGGTGATACACGTTGGTCTTGCTGGAGAGCGCGGTGATTTGAACAGCCGGAGAGAAACACGTCGAGCGCTCGCCATCTCGTAGGCCATGGGTAGTGAGGAGACTACGAGCCCGGAACAATGTTCGAACCGCATTGCGCAGCTTGATATACGATGAAATATGCAAAAAAAAGAGTTTGAAGTATACGCCCAAGCACGTGACTTGACAGGCATGGATTATACTGTTTGGCGCTATAAGAACGTATTGTTTTCTATAGTTGAAGTAGGCAATATTATCTACTTAGCACAAATGATCTTGCTTAGGACAATTGAGAAAAACGAAACTATGTTACCGTACGTGCAACATTATCAACAAAAATTTAATAAGCTCCCAAAAGTTCTTCCTTTACAACAAAAGGTGACACTGGAGCGCCTGGCTTCGCGAAATGTGCAACTCACCTAAGAATGTCCAGAAGTGCCGAGTGACGTCGAAAGCTTCAGCTAACTGCTGCATGCGTGTAATCGCAGCGTTTCATTCCTACCAGACGTAACCTCTTTTGAGGATAACAGCAGCGCTTGTGGCTAAGCAGCATAATAAGAGAAGATAAGCTTCGACGCGTTTTTGCTGTTGCAGTGTACTAACGTTTAAACGAGGATTCTTTTCCAGCTATCTCACAATATCTTGCTCTTGAAGGTTTGAAACAATCAGAGTCAGCCTACTGGAATGAATCTTCCACAAATTTGCTTAATTTGGCTTGTTATATGTGAGTTAGCTTGCAGTTATCGGATATGTAACTGAAAATTACGGCAGGACACATTTAAAAGTGTCAATATATTATTATGAGTGAGAACAACAGATTTGAGCTGGTTGGTAAGCTTTCAGCTTGAAAGGCAGGACGTGCAAGCACGGGCACAATAACTGAAAACACCACAAACGCTAACAGCTACAAAGGTGCACTACGGCACCAAACAAAGAAGGCACGAAAACATATCTGCGCATGCCCTGGCAATAGGCGAACCTATTCTATCTGGCAAGCGTGGTGGTCTATGGAAAAATTAGGCATTTGAGTTCTTCTATAAAGAAGTCAATCGTATACGTTGGCTCCCGCATGTGTTGCCACTATTATCGATATTATGCCAGCGTTATCTATACCTCAGCCACCAGAAGCGTTTCTTCGTTCCTGTACTTCTACAAAACAGCGCACTCATTGAATGTTTGCGTGTACCTGCACGCTCGACATTGTTGAGTCGTCTTCAAGAGGCAAATGTTTTCGTGCCTTTTTTTTATTTCCCACTGCAGTGAATATTTGCAGTTGTTACTCGGCGTTTCTGGCTTATTGACTTCTTTCTTATGTCAATGTTTATGCTGCCCTACTCTTTAGAATGATCAAGAGTCAGTTGTGTATGCGCAAAATGCGCGTTCTTTGACTTCTTTAGCAGGATTGACGTTTTTTTAGTTTGGTCATGTTGAGATGTTTGCCACAGATTCAATTCACTCGTGCAATTCAATTCATCAGTTCAACTCAGGGTACAACAGTGTCATATAGAAATACTTTTGCAACGCAAACATGAGCGATTGTACGCTATTATCCCATAATATCTATGCCAAATAACGTAGATATGTGGTGTTGCGATTGTTGATGATTGCCGCATGCAGGGTAGGAAGCAGGACTACTACTTGAGCCTGGAAGAGTTGGTTCAACAACGCAAGCAGGAGCAAATGCGCACGCAGGGGCTGGAGCTGGTCCGTCTCATTCGGGTGGGTCGAGGCGAAGAACCATTCCCTTGGTAGGGCGTGGTTGCCCTGCTCGTCTAACATTCGATTTATTGAACCTTCTGTTTTTTCCCCTCACGTTCGTCATTTTCGGGCTGGAAGTTCATTTTCAAACTGTTGTAAAATGAACTATTCCAAGCTTACTGAGATCAATAAGCAAATACAAACAGAGGAGATGATGGCCACATAAATCGATTATCACAATGAACAAATAATAGAAGCGTTGGGCTGGAGCCAAAGTTACGACGAGAGAGCCTACCTCATCGACTCCGCTCTTAGGAATGTCGGGTCCCGACTGTCGTATCGGTCGTTCGTCCTCTGTTGGTCGTTTCAATGAACGAAGTACTACTAGCAAAGCGGTGATGTCGCCATGCTAGAAAATCAGTTATTGTTATTACGTAGCTTTTAACGTGTAATGGTGAATAAAGTAAATTGAAGATGTCTCAGACGACAACCGGCTAGGTTCAAATTTTGCGAGTGTTTTTTGTTTTTTTTTGTTTTTCTAGAAGTAAGCTTAATTTGGAGAGCACAGCTCTCATCCTTCACCAGTTTTCGAAGCAGTGAGATACTTCTGAACAACTTGTCCTATAGCAATAACTATTCTGCAGTAAAATTGTGAAACTTGCATATTTGTGAAGACTTGAAAGACAAATAAAAGTTATGAAAATAGAGTGCTATTTTCATAATGACAGGTGGCAGAAAATTTTTGTCTGTTCCTTTTAAATAACGATTACTGGTGCGAAATATGTTATTCGTTCATTAAAATAGCTTAAACTTAATGTGAGCGCTTCAAATAGCATTTAAATTGAGCTACGCCTATTAAATGAGTACTCATACAATAATATGTTGAGATTTTCTCGCTCTAGACTAATAGATGTTTTCTCAATTTCTGACGATAACCACAAGCAGTAGTTCAGCCAGGAGATGGCACAGCAAGCCCGTGCCACCCCCCCCTCTAATTTTTTTTTGTTCGTGGCATACAGAGTGCAAAACGGCCCTCGAACGCATCTGTCTGCCCTTAGCCCTCTAAAGGTCAAGGCCCAAATGTTCGGCCTGCGCCCCTGACCACAACTGTTATAATACCTACATAGCGCCCCTTAAATGGCCTGTAAGCAGCATTGAACTTATTTGCCTGCCTAAAAAATATAATTGTGAAACTTGCTATATGAGAAGTTCTTTTTTTGTGATGAAGGTATAAAGTTGAATTTTATTGGCACGCCATGTCGTTTAAATTGCATCTCAATGATCAAACGTAGGACTTTCTCAATTTTGTGTTTTTTACAATTTACAAAAAACAGTGGTCGCAAAGTATGTTATCGTAAAACGTTTCTTTGCGTACAGTATAGGCTTTGGTTATTGAGATATTCATACATAGCACAATATTCCTGGCTAAAAGATGTGAACATAGAACGTTTTGGCAAAAACTCCTGGAGGCATATATTGCGGGAAGATTGTAGCAATATTATTGAGGTGCAAATAAGTTACACAGATGCGTTTGCTTAATAAGCAAACACAACTTCATATTGGAATAAAAAAATACTCAAAATAAATTTTGAGACAAACATCACTAAGAAGCCATTTTGTTGAACTCAGAAGACTCCCGAGTGACCGAATTTGTTTCTCTCCAGGGTTTTCAGGCAATTCATTGTTCAAAAACCAATAAATCAGCAGCATGCTCTATTCAAATACATTTGAGACGATTGTCAAACTATCTGGGACATATGGCATGCCATGACTGTCATCTCTGTTGTTAGTTACACCTGAACCGGCCATTGCTTCATGGTAAATCACTTCATTCGTCATTGCCCAGAGAGATTAAAAATACTTCGGGCAGCTGTGGGCTAGTGGTGTGATGACAGGGGAAACAGCAAAGCTGGTGGTCTTCCCTGTCGTGCCTGCAACGTCCAGCTCACCTCCTTGTTCTACTAGCCTACGCTAAACTTTGCTGCACCCTCCTTTCCCGTCACTATTACTCCCTTTTCTCACTTCTTGCCATCTTTATACATGGCTATGCTATGTTTTACCCTCTACTCTCCTCCTTTACTTTCTCTTTACCCTCCGATCACTCCTACTCATGTTCATTTATACCCTTTATCAGCCCCTTGCTTTGCTATACGATGCTTTGTCACCTAATTACTCTCCTCCTCCTCTTGTTGCATAGCATAGCTATACTAGGCTTTCGTAATCTCTTCTTTTCTCCATTTTGTGCTGTATAAAAACGTTGCTACTGTAAGCTTCAACAGCTCCACTGTTAAAAGTCGTCTTATGTTTCTGTTAAACCCAGGAAGCCGAACAGCGCGGTTTCACCGCTGATGACCTGCAGGTGGCGATGAACCATTGCGGCAATGACAATCCCATAAACTGGTTGCGGGACAACTGGCAGAACATGACGGAGACAGTGGTGACGTTAGCAACAAACTACGGCCACGACCGGCGTGAAAATACTATCGGAATAGTGTCCGTCAGCGAGGCCCAGAACGCACTGCGTCACCAGAAGGGCAACATCTGGGCTGCCGTCACCGAGTGCGTCGAGAACCGCCAGAGAATGGTATGATGCACCAACTGCACTTTTCTCGCCACGTTGTTTTCATCTCTGACGCGCCGCTGTATAGTGTCTACATCAAGGCACAACTTTTACTTGCCCCGAAAATCACAGGCGTCTCCTTCGGAGATGGTGGTTTATGTACACGCTATATCACTTGTGCTCGTTCTGCTTGCATGTCGCTTCCCTAGTGTGATTGTTTTGCGCTGGTTAAAATGTGTAACCAAATAGAATAATATTTAACATTTTAACACGAAAGTGTTTTATGCCGGGTCCACCTCGGCTTCGCTGACGTATTTTCGTCACGGATATGACGTCGAATACCTACAACAGATTGCAAAGATAAAAAAAAGGCGAAGGTAAAGTTCTGCCACGAGCGTCGAACCAGCGACCTCTAGTTGCTCAGAGCACATCTCTAACCTCGAAGCCACGAAGCGTACGTTGCCGAGGTTGCTAACAGCAAGCTATTTAAATACACCATATACTGTTTCGCGGTCCTCAGATCTTTGCAACTTGCACGCGTTTTCGTCATCAAGGCGCGTCAACACTAGAGCGACGCGACACTGGCATTACCCCGACGAAAACACGAGGCAGACCCAGACCATCAGTTGACGAGTTGCCCACCGACGAAGTCGCCAGACCCCATTGTCACACTAGGCTGACAACGACGACGACACTCCAAAAGTCAGCATCTCGTCGTAGTGTAACATGATGACAGACCGAAAACACAGGCAAAATGCATCCGCAGACCTGTCGTCAGCGTGTTTTCGGGAGATCTGCGGCTGAGCCAAAATTTGCCCCATGTGTTTGCTTCAAACGACCACGAAGCGGGCAATCTTGGGGGAGTTAACATTGCCCTCTCTGAGGCTTCCATGGCGTCTGAATAAGAAGCTTGAGCACCCAGCGGAAGTCTTCGCTTCTCCTTTGTGCCTCTTTTGTGTCTCTTTTTTCCTCGAGCAAGCGTCATGGTCGAGGTCACATGCTGAAATTTGGCGATGGCATAGCAGTGGCCAAAAGAAACGCTGACACACTGTCGCGCGCACCCTTTCGTCTCGTCAGTGAGGGAGCAGGGGATGACGAAGGCTTCCTGGGAGCCATTAGCTCGTCTTACTTGAGCAGACGACAGCGTGACAATGAAGAAATTCGATCAATCATTGATGACTTAGAGGGCCACGACACAACCATACCACGTCATCTCTCCCACTTGTTGACGTCGTTTTGCCTGCGAGACAGTCTGCTATACAAGAAGAACGACCCTGCTTACCTCCTTATGGTTCCTCAGGACATGCGAGACGACGTTCTTTTAGCTCGCCATGACGAACCCACGTCTGGCCACCTAGGCTACTAACGTACACTTGTCATAGTGAGCGAGAAGTACTATTGGTCTGGACTTTCGGCATGCGTCAAACAGTACGTCAAAGGCTGTCGGGAATGCCAGCTCCGAAAGCAACCATCTTTTAAGCCGGCTGGGTAACTCAGCCAATCGAAGCACCCTGTACGCCATTCGAACAAGTCGGAATGGACATTCTCGGCTCATTTATCCTGTCTGCTGACGGCAACAAATGGGTGATAGTAGCGACCGACTATTTAACACGCTACGCTGAGACACAGGTGATCCCACGAGCCACTGGCCCTAAGGTAGCGCAATTGTTCATGCACCACATCACGTTACATTACGGTGCATCTTCTAGCGTCATAACGGACAGAGGCACAGCATTCACGGCACAGGTTATGGAAGAAGTTTTGAACTAAGCAACACCAGGCACCGAAAGACAACCGCGTACCATCCGCAAACGAACGGGCTTACAGAGCGGCTGCATAAGATGCTTGCAGACATGATCGCAATGTACATTGACGTACAGCACGACACATGGGACATGATCTTGCCTTACGTGACTTTCGCGTATAACAGCACTGTGCAAAAGATCACGCTATTCACGCCATTTCAGCTTCTCTACGGCCTACGGCCGCGAAGTGCAGACCATATGTCAAGACAACGATGAATTGGCAACTGATGCCGAGGAATTTGCAGAGCGTGCTGAGGAAGCTCGACAGCTCGCACGACTGCACATCGACCAGCGGCAGCAGACAGACGCACGGCGATATAATACCCGCCTCAGGGAAGTGGTCTACAACCCTGGAGACCAAGATTGGGTATGGACGCCCGTTCGCTGGCGACGCCTTAGTGAAAAGTTACTTAGCTGGTATTTCAGACCATACAAAGTGCTATGCCGCATTAGTGACGTAAACTACGAAGTGGTCTCAGACACAATGTTGCAGGCACAGACCAGGACACGACCAAGCCCGGACGTAGTTCATATTGTGCGCATGAAACCATTCACTGCGCGTTCTTAACTTTTTTTAAGAATACAAGCCTTTCTTTGGGAACTTCGACGCCAAAATTTTGGTCGGTCTGTCTATCTGTACAGTTTCTCTTTGTCTCTGGTAATGGTTTCCCAAACGGCACCGAAGAATATCGTAAACGGCCAACCCTATCCGCAGCGCCCACCAATTTTGCTCAAGCTTCAGCGTTCGTACTTGTGCTATAGTCAATTAAAAAGCAATTATTGCGCATATCTGAGGCACCATAACAACACGTCGATGTTTTGTATGTGTGTCTTTATACTAGAGAAGGCGCACACAAATAATTCTAAGGACCGTAGCGTTTATCACGCTTCGCTGACAGTGCAACGCGATATTCAAGAAGGCAAGTGTTTCGAACACTTGGTTTCGAACCTGCCCATCGCTTTGCGTTCTACGCCTTATCGCCTCCGAGACAGGCGCGCATTTTTCTCCGCAGGTGCGCACGCCTTCCTTCGTTTTCGAAGATAACTGCCAGATGGGGCTCGTTTCTAACGTGCCTTAGAGTGCCTCGATGCCCGCTCCTCCGCTCAGAGTGCAGACATCTGTGGTGGCCGCCATTATCACTGCCGCTGCACACAGGTTATGTTCTGGCGCGTAGTGGCCCACTAGCTTAATGCGAATGATTGTAGTCCTGAGGAATTCTACATCCCGGCGAAACATGCCGAAGAATACCCGCACGTGAGTTGCACAGGTTTGGAAAGACGTGGCAGGCACTACAATGACGGAGGAAGCAGTACAAAAGGTGGCAGCGTCCTGAGTGGGGGCGCGTGCATCGAGGCACCATAACGTGTCTCGATGCGCTCGTTCGCCTTCGCTGCACGGATCGAGACTCTCTAACGCATCGCGTTCAGAAAACAATTCACCAATTTTCTCGCACAGAACATCAAACAAACGTTTTGTTCACTCTCTCCACACGCAAGACTATCGTCTTTTGACGACATTTGCAGTGAAACATGAAGATACGGGGCCAATTTTTTTATCATTCATCGGTCTTTGTGTTTTTATTTATTTTTCTGAATTTGCTTGTTAGTTCATTGACTTTTTTCTATTTTTCATGCTCTTTACTTTCTACTTTTTTTTATCTGGGATTTCTATTTCCTTTTTTTTTCTTCTCGTGCCTATGTTATAGCATTCGGGCGATGCTATGTCTTTTTTTCCCTGTGTTTTTGTCTTTCTTTAGTTTTTGTTCAGAAGGGGGGATAATGCTACCTGCATGCAATGGGTTAGGAGCAAGAGTGGCTCCCACCCTGAAAAAGAAAAGATCACTTGCTTCTTCTTCGCTCGAGATCCAGCCGCGACGAACGCGCTTTTCAAGAGCTGGCTACATCTTGGCTAATTAAAAGACCCTTGCACTTCTGAAGTCTCACTTCTGAAGTCTCGTGACAATATAAATAGATCCGTATACATATGTGGTGAGTGACGGCGATGCCGACGCCGGCAGCAAAATCTAGCTGAGAGTGTCCATACAATCGCTATTGCAATAAATGGTGTCTTAATCCGTACATGCAAGTTGTTGCTCTACGCATATTGAATACGAAACGACATATGTGCACATGTCAACAGCACAAATGTTTCGTTTGTTGTCTCAAGCAGGAACACTGCACAACTTTGACTTACCTGCAAAGCGTTCGACGTGGTTACATTTTGTCAATGTGCCCGAACGCAATTTCTCTGAACAGTTAAATTACTTCATAAGCCGTACGGCACAAGGATATATGCGCCTGCGCACTGTTTAGGCCACGTAGCTAACAGGTTTTGTAAACGTCGCTAGGAGTGCAATCAACGCCGGGAGAGCACTGCGTAGCTAACAAAGTGGCACAAAGCACAGATATTCTCCGCCACGGGTTAGTATGAGACCTATGAAGGCGCACATGACGCCATCATGCTGCAGCCACTCACTGCTATAGACCAGCTATACTGCACAGAATATAACCAGAGCAATGCCGTCATTGCGCCCAGTAGATATGGCCACCATGACGTTATTTCCTCCACACTTTTCCCATATCGCGCCAGCTGGGAATGCTCTCTCATCTCATTCCTTCCTCCGTGTTCTCTTGCTTTTTGTTGTCGCAATTTTCATGGCGATAGATTGTCCGGAAAAGGGCACAAACGATCAGGAGCTAGGACACTGAAAGACCACTACCTTCACATATATTGAATAAAATCTACCATAGGGACGCGTCTATATAAAAAAAAAGTTCTGTCTCGCACCTATTGTAAATCGATAGGTATTTTTGTACCACATAAAAAATGAGATTATGAATCGAGCGAAAAATAGGAAGGGGGTGATTTTAAGTTTTAATTTATTGAGACAAAACCCTAATAAAACATTCGTGCTATTTTGGCCAGTTTTTTTTCTTTTTCTGGCTTGTTATCCTGCGCATCATGTTGCAAGAAAACTAGAATCCATGTTCCTCGGATCTGTCAACTGCGAATAACGAGGGCCTCAACGTTCGCAGAGTTTTGATATTGCAAGGTGGGATGCGAGAGCCTATTGTGTACACATACAGATTGAATACTAAAAGAACACTGAGATGAATTCGTTGATAATCTTGCACAAAATATGAAAATTGTGGGCTTGAATTGCTCCAAGGAAAGCTTTGCCTTACATTTTCATTTCTTTTTTATCTTCATTACGTTTT